AAATTTTTTTTAGTGAAGTTGTACGATAAAAATTGACGGAATTAGTCAGGGGAAATTCAAGGAGAAATTTTTAATGGCAAATGTATTTTTTATTAAATCATTAATGAACATTCAGTAAAATCCCAGAATTTTTGAAGACTATAATTCGTTCATTCGTTGAATTATCAATTTAAATTTGAATATTCATTGTGAAATTTTATTAAATTTTCAGTAAAATATTGAGATTCATTATTTGAATAATCTACATTAATAATCTAAGTCGCATTTAAATCACTGCCTGCGAAATTTATTCATATATTAACCGCCATTTCCGAATTTCTATAAACTATCAAGAAATAAAAGCGAAACGGTAATTTACAGTTATTTTTATATAATTCCATGAACTTTTGAATTTTTACAATTTGTTGTCTACTCCGAGAATTTTTAACCACTCTGCCTAACTGTTTTTAATTTTTTATAAAATCTCTCAGTTCCTGTCCACGCAGACAATTTATTTTTAAAAGTATAAAAAAATGATTCGTCGCGTATTTTCAATTTTTCCTTTCCAAAATTCGGGCTTTTTCTACGGGAAGTTTAATCCTGACCGAATCCATGTCTTCAGGAAGTCCCACTGGATGCTAAAGTTCATGCCAAGTTTTGCTCAAGTCTCGATAAAAACATTAACAAAATACACAAGTGAACTTTTGTTAAACAGCGCGTGGAAACAGCTCCGATGATCCCACCCGAAAAAACATGTTCTCAAAAAAATCACAAGATGATTTAAACCGTATGAGTATAAAACTTGAAGGCAGAACGAAAGCTTGAGTTCTGGAATCGTTTACGTCTTTTGTGTGTACTTAACACGTGATAAAATAATGCAATAGTGTCAAGGAAAGTGAAAAAAAAAAATATATATTGAGGATGAATGAAAGTGACAAATTAATTAACATAAAAGAATATATATAATTGTACTCAAAACGAGAGCCGTGATAGCGATTTCTTATTCTTACAAATTTTCATTGAAATCATTTGCGCAACAGCGACATAAACAAATGAATTGTAATTATTTAACTTGAGGTATTAAATTCCGTAATGTAGAGCGCATGTAATTGTCATGACTTTAAAAACGGAAGAGATGATTATGTTGTTCTGAATATAAATTTGAGATTAGAGTTGAGGGAATATTTTTAATGACAATTGGATTTGTCTGAGTAATTAGTTTCTCAATGGAAAAATTATCGGTCACATATACAGACACATGGATATATACCACATGCTATAAAAAGATCATAGAACTCGTAAAGCTAGTAGTCACCCTGACATGTTAAACCGGAAACGTCGAATTCGCTTTTAATCGAAGGCAAAAGAGAAGAATTTATTTGGCCGATTTATTATTCGATAATCGATAATAAATCGAGAATGAAAATAATTTCTTTCTCGATATTAAACTAAATATTGTAAATACACAATTATTATTATGTAAATACAAAAAAAAAATCCACAAATGACGAACACCGTACACTATCCCAATTTGTTTATTTAAATAAAAACTGAAATGACAAAGGAAACATTCATCATTAAAGTACCATGTACTGATAGGTAATATAAGTATATATACATATTCGATACTCTTATCATATAAGTACTCAATAAATATATCTACAAAAATTTCCAATGTTTGTGATTGTTGAAAGTACCTTGCACTGAGCAAAAAAAAATCGTTTGCCAAATATATTTTCTGGGTAGCGAATATTTTTGGCAAGAGAATTTCTTTTCTCTGTGTACTCCGCATCCTCATTAATCCTATCACAACGTGTTGTCTGTCTTTATCCATATAAAGAAAATGCCTTGAGTGTCTAGACAAACGGTGAACAGTCATTAACTGTCCGATTTTCATTTTCAATTAAGATTTACTTTGCTTATGCGGTCCGTTGTGCCTCTCAAATAGAGGAGAAACATTTTCGATTTTTATTGATTCTCAGGATCGATCTCCCCTTGGGGAGGCGATCGCTTGATTTCTAGTTTTTGCTTGACCTTTCCAATTTGTTGGATATTGTCCGCGCTTTATCAGAGCATTCTCAAGATGTTCAACTTCACTGTCGATATTAGAGGGTTGGGAGATTGATTAAGTGACATTAAGGAGTGGATGGCAGAATTTTTTTGGAAAAGGTGACAATGGAAATTGTGGTGGTGCAAAATAATATCTCATCTGTAAAAATCTCCCGACACGTGAAATCACGGGGGAGAAAATTTTTATAATTAAAAATTTATTAATTCAACAATTATAAATCAGGTGGTTGTCTCAGCAGAAGTATCAGCTGCCTCCGTCTTCTTTCCTTTTTTCCTCATGCGCTTTTTGGGTGTTTTCTGGTTTTTCGGGGGATTTCTGCGGGACTTCAGGAACAATTTTTTATCTGGATGGAATAACGCGGGCATTCGATTGAAGCACTCGTGCATGGGAAGAGGCACAACCTTGTCGATCATCGGCCAGGGGAGATTGGGAATCGTCTGGAACTGATCGTCGCAGTAGATCGCCTGGAGATCGATAGTATTTTTTCTAAAAAAAAATTAAAATCAGCATAAAAAATTCAATCACTCCTTAATTACCAGATTTAATCAGGACATCTCAGTACAAAAATAAATAAGTCGAAATAAAAAAGATTAAATGATTTTTATACCCCGAGGCTTCAGCTTCTTTATAAATACTCGCAAACGCGCCATTCCTAGGCGTGTGCCTGATCAGGTACTTGCCAGGGGTCATCTTACTCATGTTCTCAGCGACATTATAGAGCAGCTGGAGCGAGTCCTCGCCCTTGACGTTATATAGCCTCTTTATCTCATTATTAACTGAAATAGCAGTTCTTCGTTCGTACTGGATAACTTCTTGGTTCCAGGAACTGGCCCGGACCCTGAGAAGTGTAGTATCAGGCCTGAAAGTGAGGGCAGCCCACTGCCTGGAAGCCTCTTCGAGAGTAACAGCCTCAGCCCCGAGCCCCAGCTGATGCTCCATCTTGGGAGCAGTGATGATGTACTGGACCTGGTTATTCGATAATTTCTCGATTCCATCGGTTTTTGTTCTCACCAGGAGTCTGTAGTCCCTCTCGACTTTGTTCTTCATGAGTTCATTTTGCTGAAGACCGCAGGAGCCAATGGAGAAGATGTTGTAAGAAAAATTCAGACCCTCGGGCTGATTTTCCTCCTGCGGTGCGTCCAGATCGAATTCATCCCTCTGATCAAGTTTTACTGACGAATTATGCCTTGGATTCAGGAGAAAACTCCTTATGATGTATTTGGAGATCCAGGAGTTCTTCTGGATGATGTTCCTGGCTTGTGGAGGCAGGGGCTTGTCCACGAGGATGACTTTTCTATTATTCACTTCTCTCACTGTCACTGGAAGGGCCCAGGAGCTCTTGTAGGATGAATCCAGGTTGCTGCACAGGCAATTTAGCCCTGAAGAGGAGATCACCAGGTCGATATCATGGGCCTCGATTATTTTATCGCAGTTCAAGTCCTCGGTAATGAGATTTTTCTGATGCTGGGGCTCTGGGAACGAGAAGTACGTCTTCTCCAGCTTCTGGGAATCCACTGGAAGGTATGTAGGGCGCACGAGTTCTGGGATTATCAGACGTGGAAGTTTTCCCTGGAAATTAATTCCAGTTTTTATTTGTGATTTTAATTAGTGGAGAATATTTCGGAATTACCATTTCAAGGGCAACTGCATTGAAACACACGCTGATTTCTTTATCACAGATGAAAGGAATTGTTCCAGCCTCCACGTAGTGCCTCGGTATCTGCTCTATGTACTTCATTTTGAATTTCCATTTACGATTAATCAAGTCCTCTCTGATGAGTTTTACCTCTGAACCATCCCAGTTTGATTTTGCTACCTTTAAGAATTCCGTTTGCTCCTCGGAGATGACACTCTGAAGCCTCTGAAGTAAAAATCAATATCTAAATAATCAATTAGCGCAATTAGTTATAATTCGAAATTGTTCTAACGAAATAATTTCTTTGATTTGTTCCAATTGTTCCGTTTTAATTTATGAATTCCTCAACCAATGATTTCATCGAAATTAATTTGTTCGTTAGAACTCATGGAAACCTTGAACGGGTAATTCCAGGCCGAACAACCAATTGTTCTGAAGGAACCCTGACTCGTTCCAGTGGAATCGTTCCTCCTTCGAACCTAATTACTTGGTAATTATATTGATAAATAAATCACCGTGTACATCTCCAAGTCTTCTCGATTGATTTTCGAAATATCTGGCTTTCCAGGAGCCGAGAATTGCAGAAGAACTCTCAAACAAGCCGAATGCTGATCTGCAGACAAAGACGAGAACCTCGGAAATTTGGCCTTGGTCTTGCGGATGCCAGGATAGTACTTGGCATGTTTACCGGCTTCCTGTGGTAAATTAAAAATTTAATACCGCATTGCCATAAAATTCCAGGAAATTATGAATAATTCAAAATGATTCAAATAAAAAATACCCCTTCCTCGACGGTTGTCTCTTTAATTTTATTTTTCTCCTCGATAATCGCCTGTTTTTGCTTCTCATTTGCATCGATATCGACTTGAGTGATGGAACCCTTAAAATCTTCATAGGCATCTATAAAAGGGTCTGTGAAGGTGCCCCTCAGGATTCTGTACATAGCACTCTCCCGTTCTAACCTTTCCCCATCAACGAACTCGTTATCTATTATATCATTTATCGAGGGATTCCTGAAAGTTTGACGCCTGCATTAACATCAGGATTCATCAGTAATAATAACTTAATTAACAAATATAATTACCAGTCGATGCTGTTAAAAATATCCATTCTGCAGTCAAATCTAGTTTCAGGCGATTGAGACTTAATCTGCTCTGTGGAAAATATAATTAATTAAATATCTTAGACATTAATGTTTTTTATATTAATCAGCGAAGGATTTTTAATTCCTGACGATAAAAAATTACAAATAGGAACATATCAATAAAATACCTGCCACCCTGTAATCGAGTCGCCATTCGCTAAACAATCAAAAATTATTTCCAGAAAACAGAAAATGTTCTATCTGTCCATTCGTCGATAAAATGGAATGGAGTGGGTCAGAGAGGTCACTCAAACCCCCAGAACTCTACTTTAGTCATTCCTCATAAATTTTTGTGAATTCCCATGGGAAGCACATGTAGATGAATTAATGAGCAATTAATTACCAATTAAAAAGTAATTAAAATCGTAATTGTCGTAAAATTTTGCACACATTTTCCAGAGTCATTGAAGTATCTACATAAAATTTTCATTAAATCTGTATATTTCCTTTCGCCTGATGCCTTCTAAAAAATGAGAAGCCCCTGGACAGGTGCATTGTTTTGGTGCTCTCCAGAGCGTCAAGGCAACCAACGACACGCACCCTAACCCCAAGCAAAACAGAGACAGAGTAATAAAACGTCACATAAAAATGTTAAAACGATGATTGTCCAAACAAACTTTTAATCGATATTCCAAACGAGGAATGTCATACGTAAGTGACAGGGTCGACTCGACAGTTAAAAATGAGTAATAATTCGAGTGGATTGAAGAAAAAGCCAGTGAGGAAGACATCGAAGGATAAACAGGATCCTGAGCCTCGGAAAAATGCTGTCAGGAAGCCCCAGATCAAGGGATCACCCGCTGATCGCAGTTCTGGGAGAATCACATCGACATCTCGACCCCAGGAGCAAAAACCCATGAGCAGTAAAAAACCCTTGAAAAAAGCTGACCTTGTGGTAGGCCTTTCTATTTTTTAAATAAATAAATCCCGGAGAATTGACGTTTTCTATAAAAATCTTGCAGAATCTCCCCAGTTACCCGAAATCAGAGGTGAAACGTAGAGAGCCTGAGAAACACAAGAGGCTGTCATCAAGGGAGCGGAGAAAATCGCGCACCCTGAGCCCCAGTGAAGTAAAAATTCTGAAAAATCTGCCATCCCCCGATGACGAGTACTCGGACGACTTCGAGGACTATGAATCCGACTTCCAGGAGTGCACAGAGACCTCCAGCAGTGCCTCCGAGGTGAGTGACTCCCAGGACACCGAAGACCTACAGCCAGTGGAGCTGAAGCAGAAGAATTCAAAATCCTTGATTCCCGTGAAACCCCGAGACGAGGAGATGGACTCCGGTCACTACGAGTTGGAAGAGGCAAGGAGAAGAGCAGCTAGAGTCGAC